CTTAGTGACAAACAGCACACTCTGTGGCAGCAGCCAATTCCTGCCTGTCTATTATAAATAAAACCTCAAACTGGCAACCTTTAACCATATTTTTGTGGGGACCGCTCATTCAGGAGACTGGTCCCCATAAGGTAAAAAAAAATGATCACATGGCGGGACATTTGGTCCCCACAAGGTAAGGTAAATCTGGACCACACACACACAGAAACTAAACTCGGACCGAGATCCATGGTATTTTCACAACCATGGTGGTGCGAGGCCACAGTGCAATACTACTGAGTCACCCACAATTTTAATTTTAGGTAGCCACACACAATAAAAATACACAACGATAAAATTTTGGGAAAGAAAAAAAAATCTCACCCATTAAAAGAAAAGCCAAAGAATCAGAAAAGTCACGACAAATAAGAAATCGTAGCTCTTGAGAGACAAGGAACTAAGAATGGTTTTGTTTACAAAGACATCCCATAATAAGTACCTAACAAAAAAAGGCCTGGTTTAAAAGCATTAATCAGCTAAAACGTCAAAACTGAAAAGCGGGCAAAATCGGAACCATGCTGATGTCAGGCGCATGGAATGTTATCGGGGACCTCTAGAATTTCCAGGATATGGGCCTTTGTAATTACAGCACTTTCCGTAATAACGACGCTTTACTGAAACGGCGCGTCGCACAATGCTGGTGGCATCATGGGGACCAACAAAGAGCAAGGAGGAATCCGGGGAACTCGCAGGAAAAAAGGCCTTTCAGCTCACTGATTAACAGCACGTTCTCCGAGGTTTTCAGGAGAAATGCTTCTGAAACATAATGAAAGCTGACTTTTCACTGCAGGGTCCTGCAGAAGCGTGCTCTCCACGTGCTGATCACGGGGTCAGTGGAGGGGGGCACGGCCCTGTCGATGCTTCCCCCATCTGACCTGAAGTCCCTCCCCGGAAAGAACAAATGAGGGGGGAAACATGTATGGATATCCTCCGTCTGATAGATGAGGCTTGTCAAATATTATTGTTTTCCATGAATGTGATGTAGGGTGATGTTTCTCATGTGGGGGCCCAGTACCGTAGCACAGCCCTGGCACCTGCAAACCACACAGGGGTTGATGCTGAGGTAAAGCTGCATCGCATGGGATGGGATGGGACTGGAAGATACAAAGGACCAACCTTCACATGACCTGTCACATGACCTTTGCATCACGTGACCTATAAGTGAAAGACCCTGATGGATTCAGGGGGAACTGCTGTTGTAACCTTACATGTGCAATAACCTGTGATGGACTGGCACTTGTCACTCCTGTATTTGATGTTAGTCCGTCTTTGTATAATTTAATTCTTTAATTGTATGACTACCTACATATATTGTTTACTTTTATATATTGTTTACTTCTTTTGTATATTTGTTACATTGTTTATGTATCGGTTTACCAATTGTATCTATTGTTTGCTTCGTATTTCAGATTGCATGGGCTTTGGGCGTTCCCAGTGGATCACAATGACAATAAAACCTTGGAAAACAAATCTCTACATCACGTTCAACAGAAACAATGGGCAAACAACAAGGGATACCTGAGAAGAGAATCACTTGAAATAATCATAATGGGAAACAAAGGCAAAGAATTCATCTCGGCATTTCAAAACAGTGCCGTGACCTGGGTCCCCCTGTCCACAGATGACGGGACTTTGCAACACAGCAAATGGAATGCAATTCTGTAAAAACGCTATGGAACATTACATCTAAAAGGCTTTGTTGACCTGAAGCCCCTGAAGTGAACTCGGAGGAAGGGGCCTTATGACGTGTTTGCGGTGAGAATAATAAAATGGGTCTCAGAGTTGGACAGAGAACACACTGGTTAATTGGACTGGAGAGAATACAGGGCTGCTCTGCTTTTAATTTCTCTTAGCACACAATCCTGCTGTTTATGCTAAAAAGGAGAGAAAAAAATGCATACACACTCTGACCCACATGAACCTTCACTGATAGCCTCCTTACATAACTGTACCACCCCAGTGGGGTTTTATCCCTAATCACGCCTCAGAGAAGCTGAATAAGTACCATGTGCGCCGAGGACCTTCCAATAAACGGGACAGTGATTCCTGCAAACCGGACACTAAAGCCACAGGCACAATTCTCCCAGCACCACGAGAGGAAGCGAAGAGTCGTCACACGTGGGAGAGGAATGTTTCATGCTAAGCACAAATTGGCCTCAAATTTTTAAAAACTTATTTAGCGAGACAATTTTATCCAAAGCGACATACATTTTTTTTAGAAAGCAGGGGTGCAGAGGTGAAACGATTTTGCCGACCCTGGGATTCGAACCACCGATCTTCACAGGTATAAAATCCTGACCTGCTGGGACACACACTGCCCCCAAAAATATTTACCATTTTCCATTTACTTAGCAGATGTTTTCATGCAAAGTGGTGTATAACTGTGAAAGCAGGGTCACACAGGCCCAGGAGTTAGGGGCCTTGCTCAAGCACCCAACGGTGCTGACCCTGGGATTTAAACTAGTACCCTTCCAATCACAGGCACCTAGTCCTAAGCGACTGAGCCACACACTGCTGCCCCCCCCCCCCAAATGACAAATGACTCATGATTCATGATGTTTGATCTGGAAGGTCAAGGCAAACCGGCTGCTGCATGCATGCTGCCCACTGCTGGGACATGGGTGACTTCCTGTCATCTCCACATCCCCCCCTACCGACTTCCTACACGCCTGGCAAACTGGGGACCACTCTCACCCCAGTCACTCCCAAAAAGAATAGGCTAAACATCCTTAGCTCCGTTATTTCCAGGATGTTTCATATCCTTCAGATATCAAATTAAGATACAAACACAGAATAACTTATTAAAACTATGAGAGAAGCAACGCATTAAAAAGACACAGGCGGGCAGAAAATGGATTTCCAGTTGCTTGGAGTGTGACTTGCAAGGAAATGCATAGATTCGCTTAATTGTTCCAGTTGAATGACTCGATTAACCTCCTAAATTCATCTCAATGACCCACTGTAACTCACAGCAAGCCGTGTAATTAAATCACATAGCAAACAAAGGCCCACTTGTGCAGAAGAGTGGGTTAGCCCAGAATGGAGCCTGTTTATTCAGATTAAGATAAAAATTACCCATTATTTGGCTAAAAAATGTTATTTTTTGAAATGTACTGTGCACTAAAAGGACGCATTCACATGAATTAAATTATATTGGTCAAGTGTACAAACGACCCTAAATTAAGACATCCAACCACTCATGTTCAACATCCACTAGTCCAGTACAGAATCCCAGTGGGCCTGGAGCCTATACCAGGAAGCAAAGGGCACAAGGCTGGGGTCCACCCTGGATGGGACGCAATGCAGGTCACACACAGCCACGCATTCACACTATGACCAATTTAGTGACATCAGTTCACTTCCACTTGGAGGAACCCACGTAAGTGCAGGAGGAACATGGACCTCCACACACACAAACCCTAGACGTGCAAGGCTACATTTCTAACCCCTGGGGCTGCAAAATGGTATTTTATCTGTCAAATTAAGGTTAATTTTAGGTAGCAAAAACACTTCCTCAACAGTAGATGTCACAACAAGTAATCCCAATACAGTAACAGTCCCAAGTAAATCAGTAATAAAGATCATTACAACCAGCGAGATCAGTGTCATTTTAATAATGATGCCACGGGCCAAACAAGAATACATGTAAAACTTTTTCATGTATCCACATCTTAAGATTAGTTTCCAACATTTTATCCTGTACAAATACTGTCTGTCAGGTATAAAGTGAAAACAGGGAGGTATAATGATTATTCATCTTCAAGATCGGCACGATCGGCAGATTGTGGTAATACCATGTCAATGCAGCAAATCCGGGACACAAATCCACTAAATTGAATTTAATCCTCCCGTTGCAGTGCCAGGCTACGAATGAACCTTTAATTCATTCAGACAGCTTTGGTTCGGCTGACACAAGGTTTGAAATAAGACAATAAAATGAGCATTGCTTTCTGCTTTTTACAAAACAATGCTTATATCAGCCGGTTTACCAAAAATATAAATATGCCTGTATTTAAACACCTAACTAACTGAACTCATCTGCACTGTACCTAAGCACATTACATCCATCCATTATCCATCCATCCATTATCTATTTATTTCTTTATTTATATTATCCACAGGCTTGACTCAACATTGCACATCTCCTGTAAAAAGAAAAAAAATCCTTGTACCTTTACAATCCTTGTACCTTTAAATGTTTATTTGTATGTGTGTTTTGTTTATGTCATGATGTCACCCGCACCAAAAGAAATTCCGTGTACTTCTCTGTACTTGGCGAATAAAAAAAAGATTCTATATAAGTAAGTTTTTTTCGTGCCTTGCATGCATTTACTTGTTCACATGGACCTGTCCATATAATACTTTTCAACGTTACATTCCTTTAGAATGAAGGGAGCTGCAGGGAATGGTTACAAAAGCCGAAGGAAGTTGTTCGTGGGCTCAGCTTTGTCCTGGTGCAGTAAACGGGTCCAGATCACACGCCTTTCAGGCGCCCATCGAGCTGCACCGACCCTGAGAGCAGCGACCCTGCGACACGCACCAGTCATACGCGCAGAAATCACTGCCTGTGCAGAAGCGAGGGATCGCCAGCAAAACACCGTACAGTAAATACAGTAAAAGACTTTTCAAACGTGTGACTTGCATCGATTTGTGTAAGTGTGTAAACAGAGTTCCCCCCCGGGTTTTTCCTGCTCCCCTTTGTGAGAGCGATCCCGGGACGTCATTCATTACCCAAGCAGGATGTGACAGGCTGCCTCCAGGAAAGTTTTACCCAGCGCCGTCAACTATTTAAATGCGTCTCCCCAGTAAGAAAAGTGAACAGTCAAGCTCAGACAAAGGCGATATGGGGCCGATGGCCGTCCAGCATCCCCAGAGTCTCCTGTACCAGCATTGGGACGCAGATCCCACTTCCCTAATGTATGCGTGAAGTTTATGCATGGGTGCCGGAAGCAAAAACTCACCCGCCTTCTCATGATCATATCCCACGACGATCAAATAATCGGCCAGCCTCGCCATGATCGCGTCCCTTTCTCACGGCATCTATCGGGACAATTCAGCATTTTGGTCTTCCTAAGAGGACAGCCATGTTTGACACTGGTGGCGGCATTGCGCCTGCGTGCGACAGGACAGAAGCGCAGGCATGGGCGTGGGGTGTAAACGGAGGAAAAGCCCAGCACCGGGTATCCCAAACCCGCAGACGGAGTACGGTGGGGGGTTAATATGCCAGGGATCAACCATATGGAGGTGCATACCGAAGTAAAACACTCAGACTTTGCATGGGTTTGAGAAAATGTTTCCTGTTACAAGTGGATGGGGTAATTACAGTTGGGAAATTATTTCCTTCGAGGGGGGTGACCGTAATGTCAGAATGTTTATTTAAATTATAGCTATCGCTAAACGTGAAGTGGCCGATTCATAACCGACTATGTAATTAAATAAGCAAGAAAAGTAATTTTGTTTATATGTGAAAGTATTTGCATATAAACGTACCCGAAGATCTAATTGACTTCAGGAACGACCCCGCTGTTGCCCCTGACACAAATACACGCTGTATCATTCCTTGTCATAAATCTAAGTTGCCAGCAATATTTTATTAGGGAATATTTCGGGAAAGCAGAGTGTTCACAGCCTGAGGGGACTCCTAATTGTTTGCAGAAAGGTTTGCAAAGTACAATTAGATGTAATTCTAGTGTAGCTGCAAAGAGTAACAGGCAGATCTTAATGAATGTCACTTATAATGTTAGTGGGTTTTAGTGAAATATTCATAAAATTACAGATTAACAAAGTTTGTCCAACCAATAGTTTTAAAGTTTATTTACACTGTTAATCATGTAATAAACATTTAAATCACATCCACAAACTTTTAAATTTTCTTTTCCCAGTGAGAGTCTTGATGACAGACCAGCAAATGTGAGTTAAGGGCCATAATCAATCGGCCATCAATGAATTCACTCTGCTGAGAATGGGATTTGAACCAGCGACCTTCTGATTATGGGCACAGCATACCCACACACCGCGCCCCAGTGGGACGTGCCCGGAACAGCTCCCTTGGGGGCCATCCAGGTGGCATCGTTATCAGAACCACCTCAGCTATCTCATCTCGATCTGAAAGGGCAGCAGCTCTTTTGAGATCCTTCCATGTCTCTGAACTCCTCACTTTATCAAGGAGAGTGAGTCTTGAAGAAGCAATTCTGAGGGGCAACATCTCCGCCAGGAGACTCACAGCTACTAAAGTCAAACCCACCAGATACCGGCACAGTTTCTCATCCCTCATTAATAGTAATTAACAACAGACTCTTTGCCCTTCAGTCAGCTGTAGAGGTGGAGATTTCAGGTCCAGAAAGTATAAATCCAGGCCAAGATTTTGTTTCAACCAACCAGTTGAGAGTCACAGTCACAGAGTACTCAACTGGTTGGTTGAAACAAAATCCTGGTCTGGATTTGTACTTTCTGGACTTGAAATCTCCACCTCTGGTTAGCTGTGATCCCATAACTCTTCCTGTCACCCTGTTTACTTGATTTCACTAGTCATTCATTTCACCGTTAATTCCATCTCACGTTCCTTCTGACTGTAGGTAGGCAGTCAAGTATTAAAAGTCTTTGTAAAACTCTGTGTTTCGTGTGTACATAGTTTAAATTGTCTTAATTGCTTCCTAAGTTATGTTACTCTAGGCCACACCCACCATGACACACTCCTTATATGTTTAATATAATTGACCAATAAAAATCTGATTCTGATAACTCTACTCCCACTCCACCACCAGGGTCCTCCCCACAGAACCAATTCTCCCCCCTCACCCAAAGGGAGCGACCCCCTCTTCTCTGACAGAGCCGCTCTAATGTGGCCACGGACTTGGAGCCGCTGATTCTCACGCCTGGCACTTCACCCTCAGCATCAAGGCACTAGGGTGAGACAAGACTCACCCCTGCCAGAGGCCAACACTGTATACAGCTTTGAGTTTTGGCAGAGTTTGAGGACACAACTCATGCTATATTCATACACCCAGTACCGCTTTTCAAACATTTTATAAAATTGCAAGATATAGAACTACTTAAAAACCCAAAGATAAATACATAAATTGAATTATTGATTAAGAATAATAATCAATGAATGTATACCAAAGTTTCCAGTTCTCTGTCCAGGGTGTACCCCAGCCTTGTGCCCCTTGCTGCCTGGGATAGCAACCAGCCCCCTCCCCATGCCCCCATGATCCAGGATAAGCAATCTGTAGGTTGGATGGATGGACAGTCAGCCAGACACAGAAGTCTCCGGTGATGCAGACAAAAGGTTCTGTTTTCCCTTATTTTAATATTTAGGCAACCAATCCGAGTTCAAATTAATACTAAGTTAATTAATATCGTGAATCACTATAAGCAGCAAATAAAACTCGCTTGTGTTTACTTAATTTCACTAATGAGTCATTTTCCAAATGATTTATCCTCTGAAACTTTTAAATACACTGCTTCTTGCAGCCATGAACATGTCGATGCTTTACTAGACGTACGAAGAACGCACAATGTTTTGATTGAGATTGCAGTTGAACTCTTAGAAGCTGCTGTTGTTGTACTTTTATTTGTTGACATTCCACTGGAATCACTCAATCTAAAAAAGCCTTTAAAATATTTTCTTCTGCATTGTTCAGAATTACTAGTTGGTCTCAAAAGACTACAGTACTGTTTGCATATATAGATAATTATTTTGCAATATGCAGCACCTCTGTTATAACAATACAATAAAAATCACATGACTGGTGATTAGGTAAGTTCTTAAGATACTTCCGTGATTACCAGAAGAGCTTTATTCTAGTCCTTACATGATTCTTTATCCAAATGTTATGCTTATCACAAAGAGGCAGCCTATTATTCACAGGAATGACTAGATGTCCAGAAAGTGATCCAGAGGGGGACTTCAGCCAATGATGTATACTAGAGGGTGAGTTAGATAGAGCAATACAAGTGCATGGATGATTTGATGTTAATTTGGAAGTTAGCAGAATTTTTTATGGATATTAGGTTAGAAATTATAATCTTTGCAATGAATGTCAGTAGAAGATCTCATTCATTTCAGAATTTATTCTGTCCAGTAAAGGGAATATCTGTCAGCCTTCTGACCTCAGGGACAGGAACAGTGAAGCCCTGAGCTTACTGAACATTCAGGTGCTCAGCTGGAAAAAAAAAAAAGATTACAAAAAACAGATACCATAAAACATTACAGTTGACAAAAATCCCAGAGAGAGTCATTTCAGCCAGTCCTGTGCAGACTCGCGCCCCCTGGAGGCCAGTGGGCCTCACTCCCAGAGCAGAGCAGGACCCTGGGGCCAGGCTGCACCCATTCAGTCACGGGGCACGTGCTTACGATGCAGTCATTGCCAGGGGAGCCAAGCAAACAACAGCTACATAAACACATCAGAAACAATTGCGCAAACGCACAATCGCATACCATATAAGGGTAAAAATCACTTGTACACTCAGATATTACCGTTATGCTGGAGGCAGCTGTAATTATAGAATTGTCATTGAGTTATTATTCAGTCACACAAAGGATTTTTGTTGTTGTCTCATTCCCGTGTTGCAGTACAAATCACTTTCTGTGAAATATGTGTTAAGGGCGGGAAGGTGCTCTGTAGAATGGGGGGGGGGGCTGTCATTTCAGCACAAACAGGGTAAATTTGAACGTTTTTCGACAAAACAAGTTTACAGACATGAAGACCCATGAGGGCCCTTGTGGACAAACGGGACATGCAGGACAGGAAATCGTCTGGCCGCGAGTATTTTTTCCTGCTTGGAGCAAATTTATCAAAGCTCTCAGTGCACAAAGAGCTTCACGTGCCTCTGGCATTTCCACACGGAACCAGTAAGCAGCGTTTAATGGCAAGAGCTGCTCTAATGTGACAGTAAACCTTTCCCCAAGGAATTCCACAGCAGTGGTAGTGAGCGTACCTTCAGTGACTGGCACTGTACGCGCTCCAGTGCATGTACCGCCAGGGGCTTGCGATCGACATGTGCTGTACGACCTCTGGTGACATATGCATTGTTATACTCCTAAACACGTTCCCTGTCCATGTCCCTGACAGCCATCTGCCCCCACAATGGCTTTAGCTCACCTGAGAATTCACTCGATTTCCAGCATGATCCATTACGGCCGGCTGTTTTTCTTGGGCGTTTTAGAAGCGTGTGTTTCTATCATTTAGCCGTTAAAGCCAAAACCACATGCTGTACGGACCCGGAATGCCCGCCGTCTCAGTCGGTCCCTACAGGACTTCATTCATTAATGACTTTTCGCAGTAGCACAGCAAATAAATACTAGTTCAGAGAAATAGTGGTCGAGGTAGATAAGATGGTGTTTGGCCCATATGAGTCAGAAGAAATTCAACATATGTGATTCCAGTATCACCTGTAAATGGTGTCGGGTGTAATGGGTTTTCACCATCAGGTCTGCAATGCTCCCTTCCCAAGCTGCAGTCACATGACGGCATAATCATTTACTCTTAAACTTGCTCCCTGCAGAAATTGTTGCACCAAACATTTTTGAAATTGTCAAGAAATGAGTCAGTGTCCTAGATGCTTCATCAGGTGACTAAGGGCCCCCCCCCCTGGTCACCCCCCAGCCTCTTCTAACTTTCGGTACCAGGTTTCAAGCTTCATTCATTTTTTTTTTCCAGAACCTTCCCCAAATTGCAAGAAGATATTTTTGTCCTCCCCATTGATGAAACATCAGTAAATAAAAAAATAGGACGGCAGTCAGCGCGATGCATTTATAGAATCAACAGTAATGAAAAACAGAGCCGTGGAATGGAACCAACACGGAAATAAATGCACTCTACTAGAAGATCAGCCTGAAAAACATCCAGTATCCAGACGGGAAACTCACAGCGGAGTCGGCTTTAAATGACCCGTAACGAGGCATGAAGTCACTTTCAGCTGGAAGAAAGCAAAACTGCATTGCGCGGTGCGTGCTTCACTGACTCAGAGCCGCGGCCCCGGATTCCTCTCAGCGGAGCCGCGATTGCATCGCCTCATTGGCTGGGAGCCATGTGCTGGCTGTCCGTTACCGAAGCCCCGCCCACCCTGCCTTTAAAAGCTCAGGCGTTGCTCAGCGAGCTTCAGACCTCTAGCAGAGCGGAGCAGCCGCCTCACACTCTCTCCTCTATACGGACTCCATCCATCCATCCATCCATCCACCCATCCAGGCAGGCTCACCCTCACAAGCCAGGTACGTCTCCTCCTACTCTGAGCTTCTGCCACTGCGGGGGAAACCGGCTGTCTTACTAATCAGGATGTGCATCCCTGATCGCAGGAGACAGAGGTGTTTATGTGTGTGCTGAGGGGGGTTATCCTGTGTATGGTATACCTAGAATAGAACCCCCCCCCCCAGTTTAGCTGTGCTGAAGTGGCAGGATGGAGGGAGCTTCATGAGGTTTCCTGACCCTGCATGGGGGTGGTTTCACATGACAATGCATAACTCCAGCCGCAAGCAAACATAACAACATGAGTGAGCAGCTTGACTTTTGAACTGTGATGTGTAAGCAAATGTAAGGACTGGGGAGAGACTTAGACTTGTCCTAGATCTTTCTGCTGGTGTGTCGGTGCCTGGAGGTCGGGGATAATGTTGTTCTAATCAATATGTCATCCTGTCTCACCGTCACAGAAACAAGCAGCTGTTCAGGAGGCTCCAGGCGAAATGAGACTTCAGACGGTGCTGTTCCTGCTGCTGCTGGTCAGCATGGTGGCAACGCTGGGCGCCGCCACGCAGAATCTGGGCTCCGAGATAAGAAGCAGGTGAGCTCGCGGCTCTGTTTCTGCGCCGGTCTTCCCGCCGCCTGCCGAACCCGCCGGCGGTTCCTGACGACACGTTTTCCCCTCTTTCAGATTTAGCGTGTGGTTGATGAGCAGAATGAAAAGACACTCGGGGAAGGTGCTGGCGATGAGCCAGGAGGAGCGGCCGGAGCTGCTCGTAAGAGGAGAAGACGTCAAAGACACCTTGGATCTCCATTCCAGGTAGGAATATTATGGTCTGCTGGGCTTTTTTGAACTCATGTGACACCTCTTAGAAAAATCTAGTTAGGAAACAATAATTTTCTGAAGTCAACCCTCACACAGAACTTGTAGACCTCTGAACCATCTAAGAAGATGTATATTCTTTCATATGTTCAATATATGAACATATTATGGATGGCTGACCTGTTATGTCTTATACATGTGGGTTAATGTCCTCCTCTTCCTCCCTCCTCTTCATCACAGCCCCTCTGACTTCAATGTCCGGGTCAGGAGGTCCAAAGGCACCTCCAACCAGAGCTGGAGGCAGGGCTGTCCCATCGCCACCTGCACTGTGCACATACTAGCACACCGACTCAGCGAGCTCAGCAACCATCAGAATGCTAACAGCGCCCCCTTGGAGAAGATCAGCCCAGGGGGCTACGGCCGGAGACGGCGATCGCTGGCTGGGGGTCGCCGTCGGGGGGCGTCATTCCTGCAGACATGAATTACGGATTGCCAGCGCAGAGCCGAAACACAACCCAATTCCACCACCGGGGGGAGGCTGGGCACAAGGACTACCCCATAAGGTGTAGAGGAGCATCAATGCCAGAGGACTGAGGGACATCTGCTCCCCCCTCCGAGGAAGGATTGGACAGCAGGACTCTGGGATGCTGTCTCACGCCCCAGGGCTCCACCCACACATCATGTGACAGCCTGGACCTCACTGTCACCTGATAAGCATCTCCTTGGAAGGACAAGGCAGACCTTATATAGAGACTCCAAAATGTGCAATGCATGTTGGGACGGGATCCTGGAGTGAATCGCAGAAAGCGACCTCCAGGCCGGCGTTATACTTGAACTTATTATTTCTGTCAAAGAATGTGCAATCTGTCTGTATATAAATATATTTTATATATTGACCTTTTATTGTATATAAGATGAAGTATATTAATAAGTCATTATTTATATGTTTTATATATGTCACTTGTACTCACGGAGAACTATTTTTATACATGAAAGATCTATAAGGGCATTGTATCATTTGAAGTTTTTTGTTTCATGGAAATATTGTTTAAACTTGTGATAATCCAAAAAGCATCATTGATCTACTCCATCCTGTGTACACGTGGTTTATCCTAGATGTGTCTGCCATTAAACTTTTGCTGAATGATTGACCTGTAGATGCCTGTGTTGCTCTGGTGTCACTGTGCACCGTATTACACCCCACATGGATCATGTGATATATACAGGGATGTTGGACATTGCATACACATATGTGTGTAACCCCCCCCCCCCCCCCCCCCCAGACAGGCTGGCTGCATTCCTGCTCCGCATAGTGCATATCTGCCCTCTGCCCCCCCCCCCTAAACACATATACACACACAGACACATACATCCTAGTCCTCAGCCAGACATAACTAGTCTCATCCGGCCTCAGCCGGCCTGGCAGCTTCTAGGAGGGGTGGGGGGTGGGGTCCTAAATCGGGGCGGCTTCATCCATCTATGCCTTCTCCTCCCTGTCTGTCAGAGGAATGCTGTGGGGTCCTGGTCTCACTTTCCCAATAAGTCAGTACTCCTGTTTACCAGCAGGGGGCAGAGCACTGAGCACAGGAGCTGCACTGGGGCTGTCGTTCATCACGACAGCATCTGTGTAGAGTTTTCCCAAAGCCTGCAAGCGGCCTGAAAGACTCTGCAGTGTGAAGCAGAGCTTCACTCGGAACCAGGAGGTGCAGCGATGGCAGATAGGCCATTCAGAGCTATGACAGTTAGCCAAAGAATGTAATATAAGTGAGAGGCTCCATTGAGGTATATAAGTAGCAGAGTTCTTACTTTTGGTATGTCATGAATACATCCGTTATGTATGTTCATAAGTCAACGGGGGGGGGGCTGATAGACATTATGCCCCCCCTTTGATAAATAAGGCCACCACACAATCCATCTGCTGGCAGGGAGTTTAAGTGTCTTTTCTGAACCACGCTGAATATAGGGTCAGGCACCAGAGGGACTGTAACGCAACATAAACCGATTCTCTGAGCAAAAGGTGTTGGACAAAGGCAACAGCAAGCCTACAGTGCCCTCTATCTTTGGTTCTTATTACTGCATTTGATGTTATTGTTCCTGACTCACTGACTTCACACCTCAGGATGCTCTGGTTCCCATTGACTTCTGGTGGCTTGGGCTCACGGGCCTAAATTATGGGGGGGATGGGGGGGGTTGTAGCCCCCCCAATAAATCAAAACCAGCTAATACAACCCCCCCAATAATCATGGAGACCTCAATGCCCCCCCCCCCACCCCACCCCCAGTGTTCCAGCCAAAGTTACGCCCTTGCTTGGGCTGGAAGACTGGGGGTGTTTGGACAATGCCGCCTTCTCAAACTACAGGCTGCCACCCCACAGAGCAGAAAATGGCGTCCTCTTTCCTCACCACATCTTCACTGCAGATTCATTCTGTTTTTAACTGTTGGATTATCAAGGGTAGAAGCTCCAGACCATTTTTTTCTTAGGGAGTGAAAAGATATATCCATCCATCCATCCATCCATCCATCTTCCAACCAATTATCCAGGAGTTGGAGGAGATCCTAAGTGACCCATTGAGGGATTAAGGTGATGTTAATCTTTGCAAAGATATTTTTGGCTCAGGGGCTGGGAAACTGCCTGTGGTCAAGACCCACAATGACCGAACCAGCAACAGTCTGCAGGCTTGATACAGATTTATGAGAGATCTCAGAACTGGGTCCTTATGTCCATTGTTACAATAATCACATTACTGCTCAACTGGGAACATGATCATCCCAGTCATTTAAAAATGGGTCCAAATCACTGCAAAATTTAATTATGTGAATGAAGTTTGGATCTGATTAAAAGTGGCAGCTGTTATGTAACTATGGTTAAGGGCATCCGAGGCTCACAGCCACAGAAAAGCAAGGCTGAGAAAATTGCCAGTCTTGGGGTCTTCGGCTGACTTGTTCAGTGTCCTTTGCTGTATCGTCATGGTTACACTGCCACGTACTCTGCGCCACACTGACCGTCTGCGGGAGGCTGCAGCGTTGTGCCTGTGTACACTTTCAGTGCACTTATGGACTCTTCAGGGCAGATGCAGAGCAGATCCTAACTGTCACTACAGTGTCATGCGGCAACTTGACATAGGTCCGTAATTTATTACATTTATTGCATTTTTATACATTAAGAAAATTCTGTTTTATTCTCATTTTAATTTTATTTTCAAAAAGGTTGAGATCTGCTTATTAAAAAAAAAAAACACTAAGATTTTCAGATTTAATTTTCAGAGTAGCACAAGTTGTCACTCCACGGAACACGTTTCCACTGCTCCAGAGTCAGTGGCAGCGCGCTTTACACCACTGCATCAGACACTTGGCACTGCGCTTGGTGATGCGAGTGTTACAACACAGGCAGGAAAAGAGTGATGATCCACGAAGGGTTTGTTACAAAATAAAACACACTACAAAACCAAAAGGACCACAAAGGATCAGAAAAACAGGAAACGATGAGGAATAAACTAAATCGTGGAGTAAAGATAAATAAGGAGCTAAGAGAACGGAGGGAACAAGAGTAGGGAAAAACACACGCAGTAACAAACACTTCTGAACACGAACATGCATCTACAATGAACCATCAAAGAACAAAACAGGCACTTAAATACACACAGAAACAATGGACAGGTGTAAATTGTAATAAAATAAACCAATAACAAAAGAAGCAGGACAACGAGCAATAGGTGGGACAACTAACAATCACAGAACTAGGGAATACTACAAACACCAAAACTAGAAAATATTAACCAACACTCTGGGAATACAGCAGGATAATTTACAGAACCAAAATAATACAAACAAGACCAGAAGTGAACAAGAAAACAGCAGCGTGACTTATAACCACAAAAACAGAGAAGAAAACAAGAAACACTGGGGAACAAAACTTATAAATAATAAACAGATGAGACCAGCTTTGAACCGACAACTAGAGGGTTAAAACAGTCTCTTAGCCATTTACTCAGCCCACTGAGCTACATGGGGTTCTAGGGAGCAAGTAAGACACACTAGGGACTAAGACAGGGGAGGGAACAGACTGACCAGCAACACCTGCTGGCCAAATGGTGAAAGGCTACAGAAGGTGGGGTCAGATGGGCACTGACCCTGACAGTGAAGCTTGCATGCAGCTGCTGGCCATGGAAGCTGATTCCATGAAGCTCCAGCACACAGATTGTGTACTGGGGTTGATGCCAGAGGAAGTTTATAACTCTGCAGTTAGTGAGTCAACCAAGCGTTGGTAACTTTTACACACTTAACGCCTCAGCACTCGGCAACCCACTCTGTTACTTTACATGGCCGGCCATTTCGTGGCTGAGTTTCTGTTGTTCCTAAACACTTCCATTTGCAATAATACCACTTACAGCTGACCATAGAATATCTTGCAGGGGAGAAATTTCACAAACTGACCTATTACAGAGGTGGCATCCTGACAGTACCATGCTTGAATTCACTGAGCTCTTCAGAATGACCCATTCGCTCACAAAAGTTTGTATGGGTTTGTATGGGACTGTGTGGGTAGGAGCTTGATTTTATACACCTGTGACAATGGGTCAGAATAAAACACCCAAATTCATTGACTAAAAGGTGTGTCCTAATACTTTTGTCAATATATTGTGCTGTTTCTGAATAAGTGTTTAGGCAATAAATACACAGCATGTTAATATGGAAAATAAATATTCATCCATCCATCCATCCACCTTCTTACTGCTTATGCAGGTCAGGGTGATGGGCAGCACAGGGCATGAGGCTGGGGACACCACAGATGGGATACCAGAGCACACACACAAATTCACATAAAGAATCATACTTTTATTTAGACACCAATCAGCCTGTGTTAGCTGTCATTGGACTGCAGGAAGAACCTGGAGTACTCGGAGGAAAACGTATGCCACGTGCAAACAATGCAGAAGCAAATAGAATGGGAAACAATGAGAAAACAAGAAATGTGAGCTTTAAATGGCTGATATTACAATTCAGAATGTGATTTAGTCCGGTGCATTAACTAGAGAGCGACAGAAAAGCATTTTAATTCTCACGTAAATGGTACATTTTTTTAATCTAAATTGAAAATGCGCTTAGAAGTAAAATAAGTTATGCATTAACCGTTTTCCTTGACGTTTATGACATGTGATATCCTGTAATGACATCACATCACCTGTAGATGGCACACCAGGCACGTTACACTGATGACTATGTAAAGATAATTTTTAATGGACAGCTACACTGTAACAACAACTGCTTTTCAGGAGTTGCGTAGCTGTGCATATCTTTATATTCGTTTCTAAACCCAAACAGGCCGATTAGATTAAAATTACGGTTGATTTTATTGATCTCCGGAGGAAATTATACTGCATTACAGTACAGCAGCAAGAACGTAGAGCACAGACGAACACAAATACAGTGCACAGACAGTGTACAGAGTGCAAACAAGTAAATGTAGTGCAAACAAATTTAAAATGCACACATTCCGAAAATAGAATATCCCGAAACAGAATATGGTTGTATTATAGAAATAAATGAATGTTTGCAAATAATAATAATAATAATAATAATAATAATAATAATAATAATAATAGAGTGACTTTTGAATTTTACTCTTAGGAAAGGCGCTCCTTTAGCTGAGAGTCACTGCGATGACAGTGCGGAAGTGAAGGGGTTAATTGGGTGCAACTTGCGGCAGTACAGCAAAATCGTTCCTGTCTCACCAGTTTTCACCTGTCCCGTCTCACTGCAGGCACGGAGAGACACTGGTAAGTACTTTCATTGTCATCATTATCTTAATTAGCCGGAACCCTTTAACGCCGCTGTAATGTCCGATGAGCGTCTCGGACTCCTTCGCGTACCGTTTCCCACCGTTTCTCATTTGCAGCTTTAGCCGCCTGTTGCTTTATCTGTCCGTACGAAAGCAATGAGTGATAGGTCTTTATTTTTGTACGTGATCAATTCATGATTTATAATGACAAAACAAGGGCAATAAAGACGTTATATATTTTTTAAGAAAGTAACTTTTGAAAGAAAGTGAAGTCAGGCAGTGCGATGCAGGAAGTGACTGTGTTTACTGTACAGTATTACAGTATGGTGGAGAAAAAAAGGCTTGCGCATCTACTAAGTTACGTGGTTTGCAGCAAACGTACTCTGAGGCTGAGAGAGTTGGGCAGGAGGTCAGCTCTCGGGGCCGCTGTGCCCGCTGGAGAAAGTACCCCCCGTCTCCCGGTCTGAGTGTGAGGTTTAGCGCCTCCAGTTCCTTACCATTACCATGGGCTCGGGCATTGCCCAAACACGCCTGCCAGTGAGGTAGAGGACCCCTAAGTGCCTTCTTCAGATTCCATCACTGAGTTCCCCCTTCCCACCAGGAAAAATGAGTCGACCAGACGTCCCCTTTACCAAGCAGCTGTCCATCTCCAGCTTCATGAAAGGTAAGCTTCATCAGTCTCACCATCAGAGTCTCTGACTAAGTAACATACTAGTTAAGCAGGGCAGGATTGCAGTGATCATACAGGTTATCCCTTGCAGCTCCAGGGCAAGAGGGAGTGTCAGACCCTGCAGATAAGCTGCAGTTATGTTTTCCTGTGTCTGTGGAGGTCTATGAGAAATGCAGCTTTACTTTGGATTAGTACAGGTACAGACGCGGCTACTTTGGAATATGTTTGGTTTTGACATATCCCATCTTGCTGTTCTCTTTAAGAGGTGAGAGTGTAGCTTGGGGCCTGAGCACAGATTCAGCCGTCCATCCAGCCCCCTGGAGCATTTTTTGGGGGTTAAGGACCTTGCTCAAGGGCCCAACAGAGATGTGGTACTCTGTTGAGGACAGGATTTGAACCAGTAACCTTCTGCTTACAGACACAGGGACCTAACCACCCTGACCCATCGTGAACATGTTTCTAAGTCACAAACCGAAGACTTTCCGCAAGCAAAGCGAACGTGATAATAACCACTAGGCTATGGAAATGAAAGGTGGCAGCATGTTTGGGGAGCATATTGTGACTGACTGTGAGCCAAATTATTCATTTCCATGATAGTCATTGTTTATAGGGTCAGACGCTGCAAGCTGGAGGCAGCACAGAGTTGAAGCTTTGACAAAAGTGTGCAGTTTTACCTCTGATGTCTGAGTCTGTAAGCAGAAGGTTGCTGGATCAAATCCCAAGGTCAGCAGATTGATGTCACTGTCAGGCCTTTCAGCAAGATCAATAGCCCTCAATTTTCTCAAAAATGTGTGCGTTGCTTCGGATAAAAGTGTCTGTTAAATAAATGGAAATATACAGAAATAGACTGTCAGACCGTGAGCTGACCTCGGACTGTGGACTGTTTTAAGTGCAAACATTTACAGTTTTGCATCATAAATTGTTTTAAAAAACAATTACAATATTAAAAAAAAATAGTTTAGTTTACAAAGGACAGACTTCTCTCTGTGTTCACTTCAAATATTTACAAAAAATTGTTATTCTTTTAGTGTGCTGACTTTGTCCAAGTCCTTGTCCTGCTGAGCAGGGTGTGAATGTGGATCTGTGGTGACATGAGACTGCCACATTGCTCTGAGAGCTAGTCAGCCATGCTGTTGTGATAAGAGTCCCGGTTTGGAGGGGGAGGGGGTGCATGCTGGTGCTGATGCACAGCCCCCGTGTAATGCAGTTCCCCCCTTATCTCGCCTGTTGTTCGTTCCCAACTTCACTGCTACCCAACATGGCTTTGTGTGAGTGTGAGTGTGAGTGTGAGAGTGCCGTGCAAACGCCAAGCTTCCTGTGGCATTGAGGGCATTCCGTGAGCACACTTGTGGTGTTCAGGAACTCAGACGAAGACGTGGGTTTCCTTCCGTCAGGCGGCCGTGTGTGTGTGTGTGTGTGTGTNTCAGACGAAGACGTGGGTTTCCTTCCGTCAGGCGGGGGGGGGGGGGGTTGGGTGACTGTCCGCCGCGATATGGATTTACACTAAACCGTTAACCCTCGAGAATTCCGCATTTTAATTATACAACAGCATATTTATAAAAATAAAGCATTTTATTTTCTTCAAAGCTTCATTTGTAATGTAAATACTCGTCGTTAAATAGTATATATGACCGGTTTATCTGCGTTGTGTCAATTTTCTATTAAACGCATTCCGACAGTGTTGCAAGTATTAGCAAATTAACAAATAATTATGCACATTTAACAAAATAATCCGGTATGTATGTGTGTGTGTGTGTGTGTGTGTGTGTATATATATATATATATATATATATATGCAAATTAAAAAGTAAAACATATATGCGCCGCTGCCTTCATGCAGGGTGCGTGGCCACTTAACACTTTAACACTAGAACCTCCCGTTTCCCACATCAATGGACGTCAAACGCTACTTCAAGCAAGACTTATGTCGGCGCGGCGGTCAGCCCTTTGTTTGCGCTAATGAGCCATTAGTGTTAATAACAGCAGCGAATCTAACAAACAGCCGTAATGTTCCTAAGAGAGCGGCTGCTCTGTCCTGAAATCCTACAGCTGAAAAGTTTCCAAACGCAGTTTTTATAAAATGCTGGATAAATGGACATGGATAATTGGTATTTTTATGTTCGTCAACGATTAACTTTTTTTAACAGCTGTATAAAGTAATATTATTTTTATACAAATCAACTCGTGAAACAAACAACGTACGTCTTCAGGATTGCCAATTGTCACGCATCTGGTGTGACACTCAAGCTTTCAAACTCACGCTCACGCTAGAAATCTTACGGCAAATATAAATTATTCCATTACAAACCTAAAATTGGGGCAGTTTGCAAACCCTACAAACTATTTAGACGGTAATAAAATGGTTACATACATGTAAATGCGTTTGCATGTGTTTGCAGACTTGTCTCGAATTGAAAATCTCGCTCCAGCCAGCTGACTGAAGTTGGCAACCCTTGAACCCTGCGTTTTATTTGAAAAGAACTGTAAAATGCACTGTTTTAAAATAAATATGAGAAAACATTACCTATGACACATTTTATGTATTTTCGAAAGTGTACTTAATATTATAAAATGTTTTTTAAATTTACATAAAGTGACATACTACTCCTCCCAAAACTTGCAAAAAAGTAACCTCGATTTAATACCGTCACCGTCCAAAAAGTGAAAAATACCGCGACAATAATTTGAGGTCACATCGCCCACCCCTACTGGCAAGCTCCATACTCTCCGAGTGCCTCAGTCACTGCCTGTGCCGCATTTCAGCGAAGACAAGAAACTTTTCATGATTGTGGCAAAATGCGTGTAGACAGGGTAGGGAAGGTGATATATTCATTTCACAGCTGAGAATTATGGGTATAACACCAGCTGCAGCACCCCCCCCCCCTCTCTCTGTAATTTGTACACTCTATAAGACATAAGACTGTGTGAAAGAGTGTTTATGTGAGTCACCTATAATAGCTGAATAGACCTTCTTGGTTGCCCTGGCTTATACCACAATGGAACCAGGTGGCACCCTTCACTTCCTGGGGTGGGTTCCAGGTGATTCTGATGGGATGGCTTTTGTAAGGTGGCTGTTCATGTCAGCCACATTGAGTCTGACAGACAGAGCAAGGCAGTCCCAATTTAGGTTTTATCTTAAATGGCATGCAGTGCTCAGAGAAAGTCTTGGGAGGTTTACTTAATTCAGTAAAGTTATTGCAAATTCATTGGTTTTATAACAAAAATCATTACTTTGTTTACAAAAACTACACTGTATTGCCAAAAGTACTGGGACACCTGCCGTTACACAAATACATTCTTAATACATAGGCTTTAATATGGAGTTGGCCCACCCTATGCAGCTATAACAGCTTCAACTCTTCTGGGAAGGCTGTCCACAAGATTTAGGAGTGTGTTTATGGGAATTTTTGAACATTCTTCTAGGAGAGCATTTGTGAGGTCAGGCACTGATGTCAGACACGAAGGCCTGGCTCACAGTCTCCGCTCTAATTCATCCCAAAGGTGTTCTGTCGGGTTGAGGTCAGGGCTCTGTACAGGCCAGTCACGTTCCTCCACATCAGACTCCCTCATCCATGTCCATATGGACCTTGCTTTGTGCACTGGTGTGCAGTCATGTTGGAACAGGAAGGGGCCATCCCCAGACGGTTCCCACAAAGTTGGGAGCATGAAATTGTCCAAAATGGCTTTGAATGCTGTAGCATTAAGAGTACCCTTTCACAGGAACTAAGGGGCCAAGCCCAACCCCTGAAAAACAATCCCACACCATAATCCCCCCCCCAAACATTACACTTGGCACAATGCAGTCAGGCAAGTACCATTCTCCTGGCTGGAGAAATGGTTTGGGAAATGGATGGATGGATTACAGAATTAGGCAAGCATCAAGACTTTCTGTGAGCACTGTACATTTTTATTTTTGGGAAAGCAGGGTCAGATGGTTCCTGGAGCAACTGGGAGTTAAGAACCGTGCTCAAGGGCCCAACAGTGACATCACTCTGGTGACCCTGGGATTTAAACCAGCAACTTTCTGATGGGAGTCACAGTGTCCTCAACTGTCCCGACCCACGGATCCACACAGCGGCCCGCTGTTCGACTGTCTGCTCACCAGTTCTGCAGATGAGTAAGATGTGACGTTAGAACATTTGGAGCAGGGCTGGTTCAATCAGCTGGCTGCCGTGAATTGTGGGCGGAGTCAGTGAGCTTCGTCTGAAGTCCCAAAGGGCCGTTTGTGGGGACAGTGAAACTGCGCTGGGTGGAGAAGAAGCAGCGATGCCTCCCCACCCCCCAGTTCACATAGGGTCTCTGTGCTGCACTTTCTACGGAAGGAGGGCAGAGAGGGAAGTGAAAGTGGAAAGGGGGGGGGTGAACAGGGGCAGCGGTGAGGCGCTGGGCTCAGTGCATAGACAATAAGGAAGTGGGTGAACATCTGAGACAGCTGCAGCTGGCAGTCGATGTGTGTGAAGGAGAGAGGGGCTTCTGTGAGGGAAGCATGTCTGTTTCTATCTGCCAGAAAGTATATAATTCTGCTCCTTTTCTGCTGGGCGACTCGCATAGAAAGTTTTGATTTATGGCACTCATCCTGGTTGTTATGAGACTGTTGATAGCATTATGAGCTGGGGCAGAACTAACTACATGCTAAAGTGTGATCCAACCTGTTTTGGTGATCTATGTATGGAGGGGGGGGGGGGCATGTACTCTTGTATAAGCTGAAGAATCCTTTATTGCGCACGATGAGACACGGTGTACTTGCGTTTAATGATGCACCTGCCCCGTCAGTTATGAAAGGAATGGGTAAGCATACAATACGAGTCTTCATCATGGAAATAGGTCATGGGAATCTGCGCATGAGGCCTCCTAGTGGCCAAAGGTTAGCATTGCTGGGACTTAAATGATAACAGAAACATGTTTTTTTTTGGTGGCGCTTTCTCTGGGAAAGCAACCAAGATGCCTGCAGATGTTTTGCTGGTCTGAGTGGCTGGCTAAGATGTTCCTGGCAGAGAATCACAGGGCACAAGGCTGGGGTACATCGGAGGAATCCCATGTGACGCGGGGAGAAAATGCAAACTCGCGAATCAAACCCCAAACGCTGGAGGTGTGAGACAACAGTGTTACTCTCTGAGTCACAGCACCACCCCCATGTTGTTTGTGTCAAACAATATTTGCTTTTGAAAGCAAACTCTATTGTGTGTTTTTACCACACCTTAGGGCAAGGCTTTGAATGCTCTCTGGCAACCTGGGACAAAAAGAATAAAATCACTCCAAAAATGTCAGCTTTTACAGTATAATTTTACAGAAATGGGCATTTCAGTATAACCTCCATAGCGCTAAGCACCATACAGTCCATTTACATTGTGCTTTGCAAAACATAATAAGCATTTGCAGTCCTGTTGCAGTTACAATTCAGTCCATTTATACTATTGATACTAGTCATACTGTTTGAGTAAGACTCACTGCATCTTACTCAGCTGCTCACTGAGTTTTTTGTGGGCATCAGGCATCGTGGAGTTATTAACAGCTGACCGTAGTATTACACATCACACACGTCCCCCGTGGGTGAGCTACCTCTCGGTAGGGTCCGTATGCAATTTATTATGAATTAATTTATGTATGGAATAAATTTATGAGCCCTTTCATAACTTCCAAAGGTCTGCCGTTATATTTTGTCCTACGGTAGATGGAGGAGACCCTAGGAAACTGCCCTTTCCGGCACTGCGTGAGATTGATGCTCATGTCTGACTGCGGCCGCGGAGATAACAGGGGCTGTTACTGTGGATAAGTCCGGATGGTGTGATGAGGCCGTAGCTTGATGTGTTTCACATGCAGTGATCTGATAACAAAGTCCGTTTACATATTTTCATGATGTTTGCCAGCAGAAATGCCTCGGTTTACCAAGCTCTCGCTGGACGAGGTGGATGCGGACGTACGCCAGCTGGCTGAGACGGGCTTCAAGGGCATCAGGGAGGCCATGGTCCTGTACTCGGTCCCAGAGGAATGTCCCATCAGTCTGAAGCAGGCCAAGGAGAGCGAGCTGCGAAAGGAGCTGGCTGAGCAGCGCTCCAAGGAGAGCTCCCAGAGGTGGGCTCCGCACTCCCACCTGCCCCTCACACACACCACTATCATACCGATGTACTTTATGTATGTTAGTCTACTGCACCATATGTTTATATTCTGTCTTATGTTTGATCTGTGTCAACTGTGCCCAGACAGAACATGCAGGGCAATGTATGGTGTAACTGACTGTTTTACTGTGCATATGACAATGAGATTTCTTAATCTCCTTAATCCTCCTTGCCCTGCCTGTGATTCTAACAATAAAACAAGTTGTAGCATGAGCCTAAGATGTGACATGTGGTTCCATGCTGGAGATGTTGCCACAAGTTCTGCTTCAGGATCCCCTTCACATTCGCCAGGGTTGGGGGTGGAATATCCCCGCAAATGTAAAAACTCACGAATAATACATGAGCCCCCCCCCCCTCGACCTTAATCCATAACAGTCTGCTAGTCTGAACGATGAAATAAAAAGTCTATTTATTAGCAATTTCCAAACAGACAGTATTGTACTGTACACTCTGCATGTCAAATTACTTTGTAACTTCTAAGGCCTTTTTATGTAATATATAAACATCTAAATTATGCCCCTGTATGTACAGAATTACTACTTTTGACATTGTGGACACTAAGTTTTAGACTTAAAAATTAACGGCACTGAGAAGTTTAAACGTTACTGCGTGAAATGCGGGATTAACCCGAGTGAGGCTGGTTACTGAGACAAAGATGAGTGTCGTACCCAAACCAAGACTTTTAATATTTAAGATGTAAATGCTTTTACATTAACAAATATTATGTATTACTATTATTTATATATTATATGATTTTATGTGACCTCAATCATTTTCAGTACTGATTTTGACATCTGCGAGTTTATGTGATTTTTCAGCAAGTTCCCGTTTCATTGTTTACAGCCAGTAATCATGAATAATCAAAACTGCGGATGTCGAATGGAGGGATGTGAAGGGGGTTTTACTGTATTTCTTAATTTCTGTCAGGGCTTCCTATTAAGCCACTGTGGTTCCAGTACCAGGGGAAGCTGAATTATCATTGTGAAATATATCAGTGCACCTGGGCTCTCTCTCCTAAGACCTCTTCACCAACTTTGTTGTTACAGGAAGAAGAACTTCCAGCTGAAACGGTCCCAGTCCATATCGCTGCAGATGACAGGTTCCCCTGACATCTCCAACTATGTGGAAACTCCTGGGGTCACTTCTGACATAATCATGCCACACGATGTCCCAGAGTACCAGAGGGTCACCATCAGTGGGGACTACTGCGCTGGGGTAAAGAGCACCCCAGCCTGCTACACCTTTGTTTCCCAATCCGGTCCTCTGAGACTCACAACCAGTCCACGTTTTTGCTCCCTCCCAGCTCCTTGTGAGACAGTCCACATTTTTGTTCCCTCCCAGCTCCTTGTGAGACAGTCCACATTTTTGCTCCCTCCCAGCTCCTTGTTTTTACCACAAACATGGACTTCTGTGGATCCCCAAGGACCGGATTGGGAAAGACTACAATATACCCATACCTCGTTATCCCTGCACATCCCTTCAACCAGTTACATGTTTCCCCAGATCCCCGGGGGAATAGGGCCGTAACTATAAATCAGTATGCTTTGACACGTAGAGTCACCTGTACTCTCACCATTACTCTCATACTCTCACCATTACTCTCATACTCTCACCATTACTCTCATCCCCAAGTCATTAATTTTCCAGTTTTGTTCAATTTCTGCTGAATCAAGCTGTACTGTATCAACAAGCCATATTATTTGGGACATCTGATAAGGTTTAATACCAGTTCTGTGTCATATTCACATTAGGTTTATGGGTTCCATCCCACCCAGATGTGGTCAAGTCCCAGAACTGGCAGACAGACACAGTCTAAACGTTTTACTGCAGTTGCAACCTCCTAACCCATTAGATATTTCCTCACTAAGTCATGGTGCTGAAACAAATGTGTAAATGAAGAAGATACCCCTTTTGCCCCCCTCCCCAGACCACGGTGGAAGATTACGAGCAGGCCGCCCAGGGCCTGTTGAAGGCGCTGCAGATCCGGGAGAAGTATTCCAGACTGGCCTATCACCGCTTTCCCAGGATCATTGCCAAGTTCTTATGCAGCGCAGGCAGCAAGACGTGGACAGTGGAGGACGAAGTCCTGCCAGGTGCCTGGCCAGAATGAAACCCACCACGTGTGACCACAGCACCCATATCCATGACATCACTGGGTGACATGTGACTGTGCACTGTCACCATATTGTTTTGCTGTGTGTCCTTCGCAGACACCTACACCTCTCTTAGTGAAGGAGAGGACCCATACAGCATGGAGGATATTCCAGAGGACCTGCACTACAAATTGCGCCTGCAGGATGGCGTGGTGCACGTGTACGAGAATGCAGATGACTTGCAGCAATGCCATCCTCGCTGCCTGCCCTATCCTGACCTCCAGACCTTTGTCCTCGACATGAGCCAGGTGCTCTCCATGATTGCCGATGGGCCCATGTGAGTGGCGTGAACACTTGTGAAAATGTATACAATCATCAAGCTGGGCGGCATGGTGGTGCAGTGGTTAGCACTATTACTCTATTACTATTACTATGGATCAAAAAGACATAATAGTCATTTAAGCAGATACACAGCTTGACGTGGTATATGGTTACTCTTGCTCTGATTCATAGGTAGAATCTAACTGAATGTGATCCCACCTCTCCAGCACACTGAGACCTTGAAGCTGCAGTCTTAAACACACTAATGCAGTTGCTGCTCTGTACAGAAGGTCGTAGCAGATGTGAGGAGGTGATACGTTTAATCCCACTGTATCTGCTTGCAGTAAGACCTTCTGCCACAAACGCCTGAATTTTCTGAGCTCAAAATTCTACCTGCACGAGATGCTGAATGAAATCGCTGAGCTGAAGGAGCTGAAACTTGTGCCGCACAGGGACTTCTACAACGTCAGGAAGGTCGGTGTAAAATACCTCAGAGACGCAGAGCTCAGTGCACACAGAGACTTGTTGATAGTGAAAGCCCAATGAGATCCAACTGAAAGATTCATGGCCCATTCCAGAAAAAGTCTGGAATGGAAAAAGTAGATCACAATTACATTTACAACCTTCTGGTGAAATTAACTTCCTGGATCCACGCAGTGCAGATTTTTGCTCGTAATTACCTGAACAGTAATTAGCTTTATCTGACATAAATTACTTGCTAAGTAAAGGATGATTGTGGGATTGTATCCATCAGTTACTGGTCATGTCACTCTCTGGTTTTGGAACACTGGTGTCCTGGCCTTACCATGCCATCCTACTTACCGGCAAATGGTGTTGGAAACTCACAGGTGGACACCCACATCCACGCCGCTGCTTGCATGAACCAGAAGCACCTGCTGAACTTCATCCAGACCACCTTTCAGGAGGAAAAGGACCGCGTGGTTCTGGAGAAAGGGGGCAAGAAGCTGTCCCTCAAGGAGGTCTTTGACAATCTGAAAATGCATGCCTACGACCTCACAGTGGACTCCCTCGATGTTCATGCTGTGAGTACAAATGCCTGATCACTACCAGACTTTTTTGATAACACTTTACTTAAAGCAGTCGTGTATAGTGCATTATAGGTACCTTCATAATGAATTATAAAAACAGCTATAAACCTTTATAAAAAGGCATAACACATTATAGCCATGTTTATTATGCATTATGAATGCTCTATAAAGCTGTCATCTATAATGCACTATAAATACCTTCACAATGCAGTACAAAGCATCCTTAATTGTCAAACTGACCATTATAATGTATTATGAAGGTATCTATAGTGCATTATTGATGAGAGCTTCATAAAGCATTTTTAATGCATAGTAAACATTATGTGCTATATCTTTTTATAAATAGTTATAGTCATGCTTATAATACTTTATGAATGCATTTTGAAGGTATCTATAATGTATAATGATGACTGCTTTAAGTAAAGTTTTACCGATTTTTTTTTCCGCTGCACATCAGCACCTGAAACTATCAGTAAAAAGACTCACATTTGGCGGAGTTGCTCATGTTATAAACAGCGAGCTCTGCGTTTTCCTTCACTTTCAAGTGGCCATATTGGGTCATAGTTCCCTCTGTCTTCCTTCTCTGCTTCCAGGGTAGACAAACATTTCATCGGTTTGACAAGTTCAACTGTAAATACAACCCCGTGGGAGCCAGTGAGCTGCGAGAGATCTACTTGAAGACCGACAACTACATGAACGGGGAATACTTTGCCCGCATGATTAAGGTACCGTTGTAGTTGGTATGAGACGCCACAAGGTCACATGCCCAGTCTTCAAGCGCGAGAGCCAGAAATTCAACATGCGAACAGCGCAACTATTGGATCGGTCAGTTTTTATGGGCCGACTTCATGTAAATAATTTCCTGTTGTCTGTTTGTCGGAGTGGAACTTGCTGTTTGAGAGAGTTGGATAGTATTTCCAAAGCCAAGAATTTGCTTTGAAGAACATCCCAAGCCATTTGCAAGATTACTCATATACTGTACATTTACCAGTGGGAGTTCAACAGTCGCAGACTTTAGTGTTAATCCGACCACATGGTTATGCTTCAGCTCCTTGAGTACCTGCTATCCACACTGTCACGATTTGACCTTTGACCCCTTCCACGACAGGAAGTGGCCCGTGACCTGGAGGAGAGCAGGTACCACTATGCAGAGCCCCGTCTGTCCATCTACGGGCGCTCTCCAAGCGAGTGGCAGAGCCTGTCCCGCTGGTTCATCCAGCAGAAGATGTACTCTCCTAACATGCGCTGGATCATCCAGGTGCCCAGGATATAGTAAGTAGTTTGGTTCCAGAGAACAGATGCAGAGAACTTGATGGAAATGCCAGTCAACTCATTCGGAGACATAGGTGGCTGCATAGGGCACCTATTTCTGGGGGGGGGGGGCAATTTCATTTTGTCTTTGATGGGAGGAGCTGGTGGTAAAACTTGACTAGGGTGCCACATGGGCCTCGGTCAGTGCTGCCTACAATTGTTAAACCCAGATTTCTTTGACAGTGACATTTTCAGAGTAAAGAATTTAATACCGAACTTCGCAAAGATGCTGGAGAACATCTTCCTGCCCCTGTTTGAGGCTACGGTGGACCCACAGCAGCACAAGGAGCTTCACGTCTTTTTGAAATACGTGAGTTTAAAAGAACGCAAATCTCCTCGACTCTGCTAGTGTACCAAAAACAGGAAGGAGATAAAGAAGATGGACGAACTTGCTTATGTTCTAACACCCAAACCTAAACTGTCATAGTTTTTTTGTTATCATTCAGACTTTCTGTTTCAAAGCAGCATAACAGCTCGCCTATCTTTTGCTCTCCAACTGTAGGTCACCGGCTTTGACAGCGTGGATGATGAATCCAAGCACAGTGACCATGTATTCTCCTATAACAGCCCAAAGCCAGAGAACTGGACCATGGAAGATAATCCACCCTACAGCTACTACCTTTACCATATGTATGCCAACATCATGGTGCTCAACAACCTCCGAAAGTAAGTGGTTGCTGCTTGCAGGCTCTGCCCATCCTCACAAACATCTATTGGTCACAGACTTTCATGCTGAACTAATACTGATCAGAGCCATGCTTGTGTGATTTGCTTTAAAATCTTTCACACCAAAACAGTGCTCCACACTGTTGCTGGGTAATGGGAATTCAGACTAAAACAGGCCCACGCCTCTTATAGGGAGAGAGGTCTCAACACCTTCCAGTTCCGTCCACACTGTGGTGAGGCTGGCTCCATCACCCATCTGGTGTCCGCCTTCCTCACCGCCGACAACATCTCCCACGGCCTCAATCTGAAGCAGGTATGTGCCTCCTTTACCTCGTTTCCACCAACACGGTGCCGGTGCCTGAGCTGGTGCCGGTGCTAGGCTGCTTCTCACTTGGTGCCTTTTGAGAACCTGCCTGCGTTTCCACTGGTTTCAATAAAGAACAGAATACAAATGTTATGGAGAGTAAAGTAAAGGTTCATATGAATTCCATTTTTTCTGATTTATTTTGAACCGTTTCGGATTTTACATTTTATAAGCTACTGAACCAAAACAAATGAGCCATTAATTCTCTGAGTTTTCAGAGTATGACTTGTTGTGCTCTGTCTCAATCCCTATATCTACCTTTGTCTTCGTAAAACTCCCCCATCTCGCTCGTTGTTTTTCCGCTGTCCTTTTAAGGATTATGCGATAAACATCTGCTAAAAACTGAACTCTGCTGTCCGCCTCATGATCTCTTCGCCACTCAAGTGTCGCAATTTATTCGACCTGCGACATGCTTATAATGTATTATTAAATCTGGCCAGCAGATTGATCTTTCATTTTCCACAGAATTAAAAAAAAAGATCTAACATCAAGCCGGTAATAAGCTGACAAATTGTTTCACTCCCAGCACCGGCAATATTAGACAAAACTATATCAGTTATGGATTGAATTTTCCGGGTATGCAGAAGATTTAGACATGATAGCCTGTCTCGCTTTCGCTGACGTTGCGGTTCCAAATTCTGAGACCAGCATTTTTGTGGTGCCATCCTGGACCTGTTTTTTTCAGGCCCAAGGCCAGTTTTTAGCTGAGGAAATTCGCAGAACCAGTTCCAAATTGGGAAAAAGCCTGGCACTAGCTCCGGCACCGCGTTGGTGGAAAAGAGGCACTTGTGTGCAGACCAGCACTGAGACACCTATCATTCCAGCGCAATCTGACGGGCCCAGATCACATCCTATTTAGCAAATGTGTCATGTGACTCAAGTTCCTGAAGCAAATAGTGAGAACAGCAGAAAAGATCGTAGGAATAGCCCAGTTCATCACACATGACCCATCTCACCTGTCAGCCTGTTCACCCCCCCCCCCCAGTCCACCTCCAGCAGTTTTTTGCCCCAGGCTGTTTCTCATAAATGAACATTTACAGAGCCGACTGTCTACATATCACTGTCAGGGCCGGATCTATGCACAGGAAGACAAGGCAACTGCTTAGGGCACAACAGGGCCCAGACTAAGTTACAAAACCTACCTGCCTCTGCCTAGGGCCCCTGAAAAAGTAGATCCGGCAAAGTGACTGAGTGATTGAGCAGTAATATCTGCTGGTCTGTTGTGTCAGTTAGATTATGCACGTTCTTATCAGTTGATCTGTACAAAGCTAAGCGGCCCATACAGGCAGCTCTGCGGCAGTGAATGCAGATATGGTCTGCTCGTAACCTAGCAACAAGGTGACATTCAAATAGTTAGGACGTTTTACACAAAACCAAAACATAGGTGCACGTGCCCTTACTGGTGTTATATAACTGATTAGCATTATCTATGACAACTACACGATTAACGGCTTTCCAGGTTGGTTTTATACAACCCTACAGTCCTGGTTAAGAAACTTTCTTGGCAGATCCACAGCACAACGGGCAAGCTTTGTCACTGTGCCACATGTGTAACGGCTACGTGTTCCTCTGCGCCCAGAGTCCTGTGCTGCAGTACCTGTACTACCTGGCCCAGGTGCCTATCGCCATGTCCCCCCTGAGCAACAACAGCCTCTTCCTGGAGTACTCCAAGAACCCGCTGAAGGAGTTCCTCCACAAGGGGCTCTGTGTCTCCCTCTCAACGGATGACCCCATGCAGTTCCATTACACCAAGGTGAGCGCTACTGCCATGGGATCGGCCCGTTGTGACTCTTCTCACGGATCGAACAGCCTTCATTCATGATTGTGAGACTGGACGCAGTGGGTCCTTCACACTGAACGAGCTTATTATGCAGCGCCGGAAAGAGGCTGGGATGTGGTACCGCCTGAACGCACAGCAGCCAAGTGTAATGTCACTGTCCCTCCTACAGGAGGCGCTGATGGAGGAATATGCTATTGCGGCTCAGCTGTGGAAGCTGAGCACCTGTGACGTGTGTGAGATCGCCAGAAACAGCGTTCTGCAGAGCGGCCTTTCCCACGAGGTAAACAGCAAAAAATCCCTGGACAAGCCACGTCAAAACTACATGATATTCATGCTGTACCATAGCAGGGCCTCACCACTAGGGTTCACGAACCCATCAAAATTAGGTGTAATATCTAATGGGGTAAAGAATGGCTATGCACAATCAACAAAACAGGAAGACAAAATAATACTGCAGTTAATTTGAACCAAGCATGAAATACAAGATTTAAGCACTATTTTGCCATTTATAATAAATTTGTGATCATTATTCAGCCCTGTTATCCTGTTCTCAATAAGCTCAGAGAGGGATAATCACTACATAGATGAATTCATCACTTCCACTGGTATGCAGAAGATCATTGCAGTGAAGAGACACATGTATACAGAGGCACATAGTATGTTCTGCAGGCGTGTTCAGGCACAGCGTCTTCATGCCCAGCAAGAGGAGCTTTGGGCCTGCGGCGGTAAAACAGGGAAACCTTCATACATTCACAAATGCGTAACATCTGTATGAACAGCCGCAGTGTTGCCAGAGTCATTAATACTGACAGTAGTGAATGTTTCTGGAAAACTACTGCAGCCATTGCTTAGACCTTAAGAATAACAACTCATATAAAACACAAATATGTCAAAAAGCAACCATAAATGTTTTGGGGACCTTGTCTTTTAACTTTCTGCTTGTTACATCAAGTTCTTGTCCTGGCAGCACAAATGTTGCACATGTGGGCCGTGGCAATGCTGTGGAAGGTACTTCTTATTACCCAGTTTAGACATGTTAAAACACACGCAGACATGCGGATCACATACTGCCGTCGCTGGAAGTAAACTGCTCTGTCCTGCATGTGACCGTGCGGCTGCCACATGCCGATTCAGCTCCCATCATGAACCTTTGGGAAACGTACAAGAAATACCACAGAAATCACACACATACAAACCAGTAATCATATCTTTGTGGGGACCGCTTATTCATTTCTATGAGAAAAATGCTAACTATGACAACCTTAACCCCTACCCAGCCCTAACCTTAATCATAAGTAACCAAACAAAATACTAGAATTTTTGCATTTTTCGTTTTTTTTTTTTGCAGTCACAGATTTTTAGAGAATTGAGTTTTCCCTTATGGGGACCAGAAAACTGGTATTCATATACTGGGTATTCATCACATTGTGGGGACATTTGGTACCCACAAGGTAAGGTATATCTGGACCCCAGACACACACACACACACACACACACACACAGTTCATACATTCCATTCATTTCTATGGGCATTAACATTAACCCTAACAATCATAACAGTAGCCCTTTCCCAGCCCTAACCATAACTGTAAATAACCAAACAAATATACGAGACATTTGGTTATTTTAGTTTATCGATTGCATTCACAGATTTTAATAAAAATTGAGGTTTATATTGTGGGGACCCACACAAGCTAAATAGTAACAGATTTACCCCCCCCCCCAAAACACACCCTTCATAATGCTCTAAAATGATTGTTTACTAGGCTTCCTGTTCTTTTGCAGTTACCAACCATTTCCTGTTTTCCAGTTGCTTCCTTTGTAAATGTCTGTTCTGCTTTGCGTCTGCCCTGTCTTGTCCGCTTTCTACATCGGGGGTAGTCTAGCATACATTTTCCTCTTCGGGTATACTCAAATGTACGCTTTCTGCTTCGGGTATACTCCAATGTACGCTTTCTGCTTCGGGTATACTCCAATGTACGCTTTCTGCTTCGGGTATACTCCAATGTACGCTTTCTGCTTCTGGCATACTCCAATGTACATTTCCTGCTTTGGGCATACTCCGATGTATGCTTTCTGCTCTGGTTATACCCTAATATAGGCTTTCTTCAATCGGTATACTCTAGTATACACTTTATGCTTTGGGCATACCCTAATATAGGCTTTCTTCAATCGGTATACCGTAATATAGGCTTTCTTCCATCGGTATACTCTAGTATACACTTTATGCTTTGGGCATACCCTAATATAGGCTTTCTTCAATCGGTATATCCTAATATAGGCTTTCTTCAATCGGTATACTCTAGTATACACTTTATGCTTTGGGCATACCCTAATATAGGCTTTCTTCAATCGGTATACCCTAATATAGGCTTTCTTCAATCGGTATACTCTAGTATACACTTTATGCTTTGGGCATACTCCAATGTATGCTTTCTTCTTTGGGTATACCCTAATATAGGCTTTCTTTGTTGGGTATACATTGCCAGTCCCATTGGTCCCACCTATGAATGGCAGACCTGAAGGCACTAAAGTTGACATTGTTTGCTCAATACAGGACAAGGGCCTGAATTTGGGGTTAATCTGCACTTTCCCATACTTGGCTCCTGCAGGAGAAGCAGCGCTTCCTGGGCAAGAACTACCTGGACGACGGGCCAGAGGGGAATGACATCATGCTCACCAACGTGGCACAGATCCGAGTGGCATACCGCCACGAGACGCTGTGTAACGAGCTCAGTCTGCTGGTGGATGCCAGTTCCATGGCCCCAGCCTCCACCTAGAGGAGTGTGACGCAGACACACTCCAAAACGAGGACTCACCTTCCACTCTGTCCTTTTGTGTGAGATTTCATTTTGACGTAAGGTACCTTCTGTTTCTATAAGCACATACTTTTCTTTTTTAAGGTTCGATATTCCCCAAAAAAGCAAATCACCTACTGTGAATGCCAGCCAAGAACTGATAATTCACTGTGAGTAACATGTAAAACTTTCTTCTGTTTCTAGTAGTCAGGTATTGTGGGGAAATAAAAAAAATCTCATATCAGGCACATCCAGGACTGACTCTTCCTACAACTTCACTGAGTGAGTCAGCCTTCATAGACAAAGAAATGTACATTTCTCAACATAGGTCATGTTCAACATAGAAATAGGCTTCTCTGGTCCAAATTTCACACTGGGCCACAGATAAGACAACTGGGGGCATGTTAGAAGACATATTCCTGACAACACGGATCACCAAGGATGGGTTTCAGCCTTGAACCAGTCAGCTCTACACAACATGCTGTAGCTATCCAAGTTCCAGAGCCCTGCTCTGAGAACTTATGGTGCTTTTCCATTGGCATACCAGAAGCAACCCGCACTGCGAATAGAGACAAGTTACAACACGGTTCCAGCTCACTCTGGTTTTCCACTGCAAAAGGGTCGGCTCGTTAAAGGTTTTGCCAAGTTTGGAGAGCGACAGTGACTCAAAACCAAAGAGATGCTTATTTACGGTTTACAAGGTGCACATCATGATTTACTGCATGCAATTATTATTATTCTTTCCCATGTGCTAATTTCCACTAGCACATCTGTGAGAATCGTCATGTTATGCAAGTATCAAGCGCTAGAGGAATTATCATCTGCTTGTGTAAATTTACATTACAAATCCATTCTGTTCAGCAGTTCTACAGTACTTTTTTTAAGTAGGAGTTTGGAAATTTTCAAGTTTCGAGCTTTTGGGAATGCCTCACCATGTGCAATACTACTAATAATGAATAATAAATAGAATACACACTCTTTCCTTCAGATAATCCATGCACAGAACAGCGGTATCTCCGCACGTTTCGAGAAATCAGATGGTGGCGATGCAACTTGGTTTGGTCATACTTTCGGCCCTGCTACTAAGCAAGGCCATGTCAGAGCGGGTATGGCTGAGGTACGGCTTGGTTCCTGGTGGCAGTGGAAAAGCGCAATTTGACCACAGAGAACCTTCACCAAGTAAGGAGCCCTGGGGCTGATGGGCGCCCTCAGGAAGTGGCAGTGAAGAAGAACCTCCACAGACTGACAGGGTCCAGAGGTGACAGGAATGCTCTGAGATCTTCAGAGCTGAAGAACCTTCACTGGATGATGGTTCAATGTATGGAAATGCTGCAGTTTTGCTGCAGTTTAGCTAAAAACCAGCAGAACAGACGTCTCCTGTAACAGGTGCAAAGTGGAAATACTGTCTAATCTTTTTAAGAGACAGTACAAAATGTGGCAGGGGTGCTGGTTTGGACATGAAAGGCAGTAATCTGATAAAACTGTACAGTGTTAAGTTAAAAAATCTAAGAAGGTACAAAACTGTCCTGGACAACACCAAGGTCCTACTCACTGCCAATACTGGCCCAGTCTGGCCCACGTTTCTGTCAACAGGTGGAAAATATTTGGTGTGTAACTTGTTTCAGTCTTTTGCCTGGGAAGCAGATTGTATCTGCATCTCTTTTAGTAACCAAGTAGAATCCAGCCAATTAAATAACAGACTGAATATTATTCTGAGAGACCAGCCTGAGAATGAGGAAAAATATATTAGTACAAAGAACACTGTGAAGTATTAGGAATATTTTAGATTTAACGTCTGAGGAAAGTAATACATTTTCAGATTTGTTCTTTAGTTCTATGCAGTTTATTTAAAGTGCTGTAAAGGGGGGGGGACTAAAACCTTATGAACACATTGTGAAGAACATATGAATTCAAACAATTGGAAAGTCCAGAAGCAGTGTTGAATTGCCATCAGCGCCATCTGGTGGCCACATATGGGCAATGCCTGTCCTCCAAGGCTCAAAAGCAACCTGAACTAACAAACCAATGAGAATGTTTCTATTTCACTCAGTTTGTCAGCAGGTGGACTCTGGGAGTATTACTGCTTTACACCACAAATTAATAGTTACTCATGTTTCAACACAAATTACATGTACACCCTGTTTAAAGTTCTTAAGGGTGAAGATAGTTTGGCTAAATGGTGTCATTAATAAATTTGAATTACACAACATGTACAGGAAACACATATCAATCGATTTAAAACTTTTAGTGGACTGTATCT